GCTGCTCTATTGGGTTGAGATTAAGGGGCGTATCGTGTCATTGAAGAATAACCCACTTCTCTGTGCTTTTACTCATTATAAATCTGCACCGTGAAGTACTTTCCTATCATTTTTGCAGCATTTGGCTCAATCTGAGCAGAAAGTATAGCTGTGTGCATCCCAGAATTCATCCTGCTGCTCTTGTTAGCAGTCACATTATCAGTAATCACTGGTGGCCAGATTACACCGGCAGCTATAGATACCCACCACCACATTGCTTAAGTGATGTGTGTTAGATAATGGGCCTGACTATATTCAGTGGGCCCTGGCTATAACATGGTTCACGTTTTGCAGATTTTTTTGGGGCAGTTTTGCATACTTTATTTTTTATTTTTTTACTGCATATTGTGTTCTGCATCCTGATTGGCTGTAGACCATTGTCACTCAATCTCCTCTGTGCCGTGTCTCCTGTACAGTCCAGAGTGCGTTCAGCTTGTCAGATTTACATAAATCTTCGATCCTAGCAGTGTGACTCCGTGCTGTGCTGTATATCTGTAAGTTTTCTCCCCAACAAACAACAATGTCCATGAAACATTTTGCAGCCACGGTAGCATCCAGAAGGTAGAGAACGATGCTAACCATCACACAGAAAGCTGAACTTCTGGACATGCTCAAGGAAGGTAGAATTATTGTATTTCCCGGATTATGAGGCGCATTAAGCGAAACAAAACAGTCAAACTTTACTCAACTCATTCTTCCTGCTTCCTCTGCTTCCGTACCAGTGATTCATTAATGATTCATTAATGATTCATTCATGTTGAATTCTCTGGCAGCTGCTCTATTCACTTGTTCTGGACCTGAAAACAGGGTTTGATCTTTGGTTTCATTCTTTAATACTGGACTTATGTTTCTACCAAGGTTTGAACTTTGATAGTGTTTAAACAAATGTTCATGCCTGTCTGAGAAAAGTCTATAAAGTGTGTAATGAGGAGTTTTACAGCCTTAAAACATCTATAATAATTGTAAAAAATAAAGTTGGCTACTTTGCAGATTTCACCTGTCGCGGGTTGTTTTTAGAACGTAACTCCCGCGATAAACGAGGGACCGCTGTACTAAAACTGTCATTACTGAACTGTTTGAGAACTTCCATTGACTGAGCATCCAATAACATTTAAAGGTTTACCCTGGTTTCCACACATTATCTCCAGATTTGGTTCAGTTACAGTTTGATGCTGGATCATGCAGGAAGCATTTTTTGTACTGGAAGCTTGCAGGCTAAAAACATTTAGATGTGCAGTGGAAGTCCAGACGGGTATTTTGTGACATGGCTGCAGATTCTAAACACAACTAGAGCTTTGTCTAAGGCTAAGGGATTGTTTCACACTAAACATAATGGGTTTGACTTGTTGACATAGTTTGTGGCTATTCAGATGTTTAAGGAGAAAAGCTTCTGGATTTCTTGAAGTTTCTTGAAGACGTTTCTCTGAGAAGCTTCTTCAGTTCTAGGGTCAAATGGTGGAGAGTCCCAGATTTTAAGCCCTGTGGGAGTGTCCCCAAGAGGGTCATGGACCCCCTATTGATCCTCTGCCAATCAAACGAGCCAAGGTGTGGAAACAAGTGTAGGTCACAATCAGCCAAGGTTTCAGGTGAACCCATCGTGAAACCTGGCCCCACCCTATCATGTGACTTATTGAGGTCA